ATGATTCTCTGTAGAGATTCTCGCTAGTTGCTGTTTGGCTTTGACAAACACTCGACTGGTTTAGCGCGAAAATGTGACCTCACAGCGCACGGTAACTAACCTAAGTTACCCTGGAAACTAAACAACAAAAAGTCCCCAACTAAATATTTACGCAGACATAAAAAACAACTCGGTGTTAAATTAAAAACTAAAGATTGCACAAGTTGTTCGCTTCACGCTCTTTTAATGCATTCAAGCAAAAAATTAAGTCGAACAACAACAATAGCTGATAAGTTAATTCATGCATGGAGAACAAGAAAAGTATAAATAAAGTAATATGGGAAAAGTAACAAGAGGCGATAAGGTATAATGGGAAAAAAACAGGAAATGCTAAAAGCAAAACATATGATTTTAGACCCTCGGGTATACTTATAAATAGGTTGCCAAACTGCAATCTTATCGAGGTTTTCCTTTGGGTCTTGCAGCTTAAATGGATTTTTTTTTACGGGAACCTTATAATTTAGAGTTTCTTTTATGGAAGTTTTTTTTACAGAGTTACGGCTCTAAATAAAATATGATATTAGCATGTCTTTCTATATTTGTAACACGCCTAATCTGTTTTCTTTTTTGGTTTATTTTTAAAAGTCAACTTGGAACAGGTCGATAAATCATGTTAATTCTGTGTAGGTTTTTGTTTTGAAGTTGTAAATTAAAGGGTAAAGGCTTAAATCTGTATTTTTAATAGATTTGGTATCGCTTCTATAAATACAAAGTAAGCGATAATTACTAAGAGCATTCGTATGCTGATATATTGCGATAAACTTTTTCCATAACATAACGTCGCACCTTTCCCAGGCCAAGCCTCTCACACACCTTGATTACCTGGCGGCCTTCCCCTTAACCCGCCAACCGGCTGCAGTGGCTAGAAGAGCACTGCCTTAACCCGCAGACAACGAGGCAAATATTATTCCGCATGCATAATTAGCATATCTCTTGGCTTTTTCGCATTTTTCGCCTTCTGTCTCGCCCGCTGTTCTTCTTGTTGGCCCCTTTGTTTTGCTGGCTCATTCGCGGCCATCAGGTCTCAATACTCGTTTGCCCGGTAAGCTCTTTTCTACTGCTTCCTCTTCGCTCTCGCCTTACATCGCTTCATTTGGCTTCCACTACCTTTTAGTTTGGGGTTTTGGCTCTGGCTTTGGGGCCGGTTCTTTGGTCTCGACTTTCTGCCACTTACTTTGAACTTTTTGGGGCCCGGAGAAACCAGTTGATGCAGAACCGTTGCAGAATATGTTCGCCGCCGTTCCCCAAACCAAAGTACGTGTCAATCTCTAAAAATTTGTTCTATTGATTCCCTAGAAACCTTAAAATATTGTAAGTACTTAGAAGTGTCCGGAAACGTTGACAAAACACGAGTCGAGTTCTAAAAATGGTATAAATTTATATCAAAAATGGCGCCTTGACAAAGATAGAAGGATAGAATATGTCATCGATAAAATAGAGTCATATGTGTACTTAACATTGTGTTGGGATGTCACAACTCAAGAGATTCTTATGAGAGACAGTAGTCCTTCAATTTTTGACTCCAGTTCTTAATATATAATAAAAATAATTCTCTTACCGATACAAGAACCCCAGTTTCACCTTCACAAGTTCCGATGGCCCCGTCAGATTTGCTGAAAATCAATTTTAAAGCTGCTGCCAGTCAATTATAAAGTGCTCTTAATTAATTATTATAAATAGATCAGCGATAATGACTCTGTATGGTAGGTAGTACTATCTTATCTGCATCACAGGGGGGAACAAAAACAAATTGCAAATCTTGTTGTGCGCATATTTCTAAACAAATAAAAATCAAGTGAAAGCCCAAAGTCGTGACTGAAACTACTCGGGAAGGGGGAAAACACCCTTGGGAATTATTTTCTTCCCTGCTTGATTGTTTTTACGATCCCCGACTTGCAAAGAAGCCGTAAACATTAATTACTGATATGTGTGTGTGTATATTAATAGGTTTTATCTGAAGTGCTACTGTTTTTAAGTTGCCAGCCAAGTGGCATGCAATGATTTTTAGCAAACATCATAAAGATATCAGCTTGATTCTGGTTGTTTAATTTATGTTTATGGACCTTGTCAACAAGGGAAATGTCTTAAGGAAGTTTAATTTTGTTTTAGAGATCGAGTGACTCAAAGTAAAGACAACTTTATAACAGAACGGGAGCTTAAACTTTGAAGATCAATCATTAAGAGGAATAGAGAATGCTGTAGATATTTGAAAAAGTTTAATCATAGTTTAAAATCGAACTAAACTTTTTAAACAAACTCACTATGGATGTATGAAAGTATATATATATATTTCAACCATATCCCTTGCTCATGTGTTTCCATGTTAGCCATAAACATCAGCTGGCATTATATTTAATTGACTTCTAAACAAATGTGTTTTGTAAGGTCTTTGCACACTTGGCGCTGCTTTCATAACTCCCAATTTATCGGCAGAACCGCTTATACATTTGACACACTTTTCCCCAGTCGCCTGTTGGCTTTATGTATGTACAATGCAATATATAAATATGAACGGCACGAAAAGGTTGCATTCGATAGAATTCAACCGTGAGCAATTTGTCACTGTTCTTTATTATTTCTACACTGGTATATTTTATTTTATTTAGCTGTCGTTACTCCCCGTTCCCGATCTCCAAAGGCCAAAACTTGATACTAGCCCAGTGTCTCCATATACATATATATATTTATTATAATATATCCCATTCGTTCGCTCTCTCGCTCTGAGCAAACTCACGACTTGAGTTGAGTTAATTTGAGCGAGCGGCAAATGAATAAATTTTCGCTGGGGGCCAATAAAAACGGTTGGACTGAGCCAGCTGCCAGTTGGCTTTTAAACGCACAGCGTCAAAGTCGGTCAGAAACGGTGGAGTTACGGTTACGGCTAGGCTACACCCACGCAGCATATCTGCCATATTTTTAGAGAGCAACGGACGATAAAGAATCAGAATCTGATTCGATCAACAAACTGGGCCGAGCACGTGCCCAAGTGGCGTATACTTGATATTGCGCATACGACACCTGTGATTTGTTTTTCCGCGCGTGTTTGTGTGCAGCTTCTGTGAATTCAGAAATTATAAATTAATTGATTGAAAGTGACAACAGTCCCAGAGAGAGAGAGCCGAAAACTACATGAAGATGTGCGAATTGATTGTCAGTCATGGACTCGACCGCGAGGTAACAAAAACAATATCATTGGTGCAGGCACGAACACATGATTCATGTGATTTCCCAGCTGTTCAATATACATATGTGGCTTTTTCATCAGCTCTAAACAATATATTTGGTTATTAACTTTACGCTCAACGGCGAGCACAGCTCTGGCCCAACTGAGACCGTGTTTTAAAGTGCTCAGCAAATATATAAATATATAAACCTGTCATTGACGTTTGACTTTGGCTGAGGCTCCTCTCTCTCTCCTTTTTGAATGCCCCGATCTGCGATTTAAAACTGACCCTCGTTGAAGTGCGTTGAAAATCGTCTGTTTAATTTGTTTGTCTGTCTGGCGAAATTGCGTTCTGTTTTTTAATTGTTGCGGGCAATCCGCAAAATTGCAGTCACGCCTCAATTACTGGGACTCTTTTGTTGTCATTTCGTGGGTCGCAAAATGGCAATATTATGTATATATGGTCGCTGTCTGGCGTTCAAATGCGTTTCCGATCTATTTCACTGACCCAAATTGAGTAGCATTCGTGACCTTCCGAGCAGCTCAACTGATGTGGAATATCTCTACGACTGCCTGGCTTTATCGCAGATTTTATATCAGACTAATTGCAGGCGAGGTCGGTCGTCGTTAGGTTCGTCGTCTAAGTCTGCTTCAGGGGGGCTCATTCATAATTGATTTAAAGCCCACTATAACGCCACTTTATGGCGAATCAAAGTCAAGGCACTCTCGGCGGTCCTTCAACTCGAGGGTCCCACCAGAAGTTAATCAATCATAGCGATGATCAAGATGTAATCAGGCCCCCAACTGCGACGCCGAAATACAAATATATAGAGTACGAATATTTTCCAAATTACTTTCGTGATATAAAAGCGGTTATAGTATTTTGTCTCTTTGCCTTATCTAGACTTGCTAATGCTCGAATCACGGCCATTAAAGTTGGCTGGAGCGTCGAACGATGCTCTGCCTGCCTTGACTTTCTGTTGATTTTGGGAATGTGAAGTGATCTCATATTCGAGCGAATTCCAGGTGTTGTGCGGGTGATGCCCAAAGTTATGCAAAAACGGCACTGGTTCAGTCCTTCTCACGGGATGTATTCCATATCGTATGCAAATCGCCTCGCTGAAATTGAGTTTATTTTCGTTATTAGTCGTGTTCAAGTAATGTGGGGAAAATTAGCACAATCATTGACGTCACTGGCGAAATGTTCACACGCTGTCAATGCCAAAACAGTGAGTGAGTATGTCACACCCTGCGACAACCCAAACCCAAAAAATATAATAATAATAAATAACAAGTTAAAACAAAGTCCGCACCGGGTGAGCACCCACGAATTAGTCAGAATGAATTTCACATGAAGGTGTAGCTCGTAGCTTTTGGGCGCTATCATGGAAACATGGGTGGCTTTGGTCCGATCAAAAATTGAGATGTTTCGCTAGATTAGATTGTATTGAAATTAAATGCGAGTGAGGCACAAACACGCACTGGTTGGCAGTGACTGTGTTTAGTTCTTTGGAGGAGCCTCAATCAAACGGTTGTCCATCATGGGATTACACGAAAAGCTGAGAAAGTTGCACTATACCCATCAACATCACAGGGATCCGCGGCGAAGAAGTTGTCCGGTGAGAATGGGAACATTTCCGGGAATGAGAGATATACTTTAATGTAGTTAAGCATATTTTAGACAAAAATATCTGCTCTTTGGAGCTTTATAAAGAGACTTCTTCCTTTTTTTTGTGAAACATTCCCTTTTTGGTTGGGATCCCAGCAGGCTAGGTGTTACGATTTTTGGCCAGTGTCATAATTGACTTTCGTTCCTGCCATTCACGTGTTAGTCGTTGTTTTATTTCATTCCGTTCCGAGTACAGAGCTCTCAATCTAAAAATTTGTATTTATCAACCCAAAAACGGGTTTTGTTTTCGACGATAACATTTTGTTGCAGGACGCCATAGCCCCCGAGAAGCATCCATTAGTGTCGGGCAATCCATAAATTCGCGTGCTCTGCTTTCACAAGTTACTGTCCAAATTGAAGCGTTTTTCACAGTTGTCGCGATGAGTAGCCATCCTTTAAGCCTAGGCAAATTCGCCCAGCGTGGCGCCACTATGTATATCTATCCGGTGCCTTCGTCCTTTAAGTGCTTCTATCACAGTCAGAGGATTGCCCAAAGGGCTTCCGAGAGGGCTCTGCCTCGCAAAGTGATCGGCGTGAAGAAGACGCTGGTCAACCAGATGCAGGGCATGGTCCGCAGTTCCGATCCTTCGAAGCTGCCTGCTTACAAGACCTACGGCAAAACTCGGCTGTTCTCCTCTTCAAGCAGCCTAAAGAGCAGTTCGGGCAGTTTATCGTCCCGCCGCTGCATGAGCAGTGGGCTAAAGAAGCCGCAGCAGCAGCAGTGGGAAGAGGATTCCAAGACTGAAACCTTTTTCCGCAACAATAGGACCACTTTGTCGGCCACCCAGCGAGGGTACAATACGTCGCCGATTTTCGGCAGAGGCTTGGCCACACAGGCGGCTAGGGACATTAGCCGTTCCATTCAGGAGGAGCTAATGGTTGTGAATGACGAAACGCGCCACATGCTAAACTGCAATCCCAATCGCCATGACAGGCGTGACTTCCAAGAACAGCCCAATGCCGATCCGATGCAGGGCTGGAACCATCCGATGTCCTACAAGACCATGCCCAGTGAACACGATGGCATCCCAGAGGAGCTGGAACTGGAGGCCCGTCAGAATAGGCCACGTCGCCGGCAGTTGATCATGGGTTACGCCAGTCATGCGGCAAATGTGGCCGCGCGCAATCGCGAGACCCTAGCCAAGCCACCACATTCCCAACAGCTCAATCCCAATCCCAAGTCCAAGGTTGGCCAGTTGTCAAGCATGTACAGCTCTAATGCCCAGGAGAGGCTCTCTGAGCTGCGGTCGCCGCTGACTCGTTATGTGCCCCAGGCAACCAGCGAAAAGGACTCTGATGATGGACTAATGGATGTGGCCATAGCCAGGGCCACTCGTGCAGATTTCACGAATGCCCGGGGCATGCCAAGAGCTGAGGACGAGGAGCCTGATTCGCTGTACGAGCAACCCCCCGCCGAGAGGGAGTTACTGAAGCAGGCTTTCCTCAGAGGAACCCGGCACGCGGACCAGGGGCGAATGGACGAGCTTCACTACGAGTCCTCCGCTGGCATCGGAAGCAACGACGCGCTGATCAGTGCCTCGCGGCAAGTGATCAACCAGAAGTTCGCCGGATTCCAGCACTTGACGAGCGCGCAGAAATGGAGGGCCCCACAATTGGTGGAGTCGGTCAACCCGACGCCCCAGCTTAATCCTCGGGCTGTCAGTGAAGCCCGCGGAAGTGTGCTGATGCAGCCGGGCAAGAGACACTCCACCGCGAGGATGAGCACCAAACGGTTGGCCACCCCCCGTTTCTTTGGGGGACTTGGCGAGTCGGACACGTCGACCCCGAGCGAGACGGGGGAGCGCAAGCGGGATGACAATGACGACGTGAGTAGGAACGAATCTTGGAGCCGGCACCAGGAGCAAGAACCCAGGGATGTCGAGCCCCCCAGGGCTATTAAGCAGAATCGCGTGATGGCCAGCGGGCCGCAGCGCCAGCGCTCGATATACCAGATAACCATGCAGGACAAGAACCGCCGACAGTCTGAGATGAAGGCTCGTAGCAGGAATGTATCCATCGCAGGCCGCATGACCACTACCAAGGGCGAGAAGAGGGACCACAGGCCGATCAAGCCGGAGGATTTGGATCCTGAGAACGATATCGAAATGCCCTCGGAGTATGACAGGAAGTCTGCTGTCCAGCGTCTCGGCCCAGCTATTCCCGCCGAGTATGGTACTCGCGCCTTCAATAGCTACTAACAAGCCATAGTGACCTGTCGTCCTGCCGTCTGCAAATGTGCTATTCCGTAGTTCATCTGTGTCGTCATTCCCAACCCAAGCCAGCCGTCTAAGGTGCATGGAGTCTTCTCCCATTTAGGGCTATCAAAATCCATTCAAGTTTACTAAATCAAGGCCAGGTCACATCTGTATAAATCCTTTGTCTCGTAATTGCAAAATAACTGAAAGTATATTAAAAATGTACGCCTTGAGTACGAAAATTAGAATTTGTTTCGAAACTTTTGACTGGGATTAGGAATTGTCTTAATAATGGAACCTTAAACAATCCCAAACAAGTCCTGAAACTGTCCCTATTCACGGAGCATCTTTCAGCATTGTAAAATAACATCTTTCCGCTATCTAAGTGTTGTTATTCTTTCATTTTCGTTCACTCAGCTAGTGTGCCGATGCCAAGCGAGCTCTTTTCATTTGTAGTTAGAGTTGAAACCAAAAGTCAAGGGACCCCACAGAACCAATACCCCATAGACACTGTAAACTAGCACTGTACACCGCAATAAAAACGTTCAAATGAAAACCCAGAAAACCAGTTAACCAAAGCACAGCACTCAAATGTATAATCTAAACCCAACAACCTCCCAAGAAATAAAAAAAGCAGAAACGTATTTAAATAACTCTTTGACATGTATTTTGAGTTGTATTTGGAATTTTTGATATTGATATCTTTTAAGTTACCAATTAGCTTCTGTTTTATGGTTACTAACCCTGGAAATTAAGCCTATTTAACTAATATCCTGCAATCTCATCAATCGTTCTCCAGGTGCTGTCCATGAGCACAGATGAATATCGCAAGACCTCACTCTTTGCCACCGGCTCCTTTGACCTGGACTTCCCCATACCAGATCTGATTGGCAAGACAGAAATCCTCACAGAGGAGCACCGGTAAGCTACTACAACTACTCACTTAAGTAAAGTTAACCTAAACCTTTTTGAACAAATATGTCTGGAATTTTTAATGTTTTTAATTGAGCTGCCATTGACCAGGAGTACCATCTTAGAATCCTTTTTATAGAAGCCTAACTAAAAACTATTTTTCCACTTGCAGCGAGAAGCTCTGCTCACATCTGCCAGCCAGAGCCGAAGGCTACTCCTGGTCCCTCATATTCAGCACATCGCAACATGGTTTCGCACTGAACTCCCTCTACCGCAAAATGGCGCGTCTGGAGAGTCCAGTTCTGATTGTCATCGAGGATACAGAGCACAATGTAAGTTGATTTTTAAAGATTTCCAAATAGAATATACTATATAAGCCAAAAATATATATCTATCTAATCTCTGACTCATTTGTATCTGCAATTAAGTTTATTTTCAAGCTAAAAATTATTGTTGTATTTTGTTTTGATTGTCTCAAAATGTTAATTAGACAAATTCTTCTTCAATACCAGTTTAATAAGTGAATAAGCAACTTTCTAAAGTTCAACAAAGTGCATAAATAACAAATATGCCTTATTAATTACTTCGCGTCAGTAAAAGGCAGTTAACGAGCCCTGAGAGAGATGTATTTGGATAAGGACAGATTAGGGATGACAGACATTGTCCATTTTCTGTTTGATAATTTCAGTTTCCGATATTTTTCGGAAAAATTCTGTTCTGTTGCATAAATAATTGATACATTTTGTAATTATTCAAATTTTTAATAATTACCCTTTTATTTTCGAATGTTTTCAGGTATTCGGTGCTCTGACCTCTTGCTCGCTGCACGTGTCGGATCACTTTTACGGCACTGGCGAGTCCCTGCTCTACAAGTTCAACCCCAGCTTCAAGGTGTTCCATTGGACTGGCGAGAACATGTACTTCATTAAGGGCAACATGGAGAGCCTTTCGATTGGCGCCGGAGAGTAAGTGTGAAAAGGATAACTATTTATTGACCATTTGCTAATTCGTTTATCTATTTTTAGTGGTCGCTTCGGTCTGTGGCTGGATGGTGATCTGAACCAGGGACGGTCGCAGCATTGCAGCACATACGGCAACGAGCCACTGGCGCCACAAGAAGACTTTGTTATCAAAACACTCGAATGCTGGGCATTTGTTTAAGTGAATTTCTGTTGTCAACAACAAAAGCATATTTAAGGAGGAGAGCGAGCCACTCCCTACACCTACCTATTTAAATAATTATATGTACTTGTACTAAAACCAACAACCTGAGAACGATGTCAAAAGCTGATCCGCCAGAACAGTCCCACAACCACACCAAAAACACAACTTACAAATGGAGCAGGCGACCCTGATCCGATCTGATGGAAATGCATGTTCTTGGAAGCTAGATGCTGCGAGTTAGCGATGCGTTGGAACGTATTAATTATTTAGTTTTTATATTACATACTATTAAACAAGAGCAACTAAATTATGTGTTAGATTTAAACAAAAACAAAAGGAAAAACGTGAGAAAACCAACCCGAAAGGCAGACAAACGACACGGAAATTAAAGCGAAAACAATTGAGGATAGCATTAGCTGCACTCGCCCATCCATTCAGCGGTCATCACCACACATCTCCATGCATTGTAGCACCACACACGCCACACAAACACACACATTTAAGTTAAGTTCTTATTATCGAAAATTATAATCATTAAATTGTGAGAAGCAACAAACATATTTAGAGAGAGATGCGAGCTTGCAGTCTTTGATCTACTTCGCGTTTAGTTCTCTTGATTGATTTCAGTTTGAATTTAATTTAATTTGTTTGAGTGTGCGGATAGGCGAGCCCTAAAGTTGAGAATGAGAAAAAAATAAAATAAAAAGTATGTCGATATAATTTTTAGTGCAAAAGTGTAAGCATTTCAATGCTAATTGCAAGTGAAACTGAAAGCGAGGATAAACCCTAAAGAATTGACTTTTATATACATGTAGAGGAAGTGCCGACGAAAGGAGCTGCTGAGAGCGAGCGTTATATTTTTTAGTTGTACTCCGATATACATATATTTAATTACGATTATTTTAATGCTAATGATGTTGACTTTTATGCAATTATACTAAAAAAAAAACAGAAACAACACCAGAATGAAATACACAATATTATACAACAAAACTGGCCAAAGCAGAGGTTTTACTTCACCCCAGAGACCCCAGAATATTCGCTTGAAACTACACACACATATATTGTGCCGCCGCCCCCGTAGGTGTGCTATAATTTTTTATTAGAAAAGGTCCCAGAGCCGTCAAGATTTGTAGATAAGTAAGTTTTTCCTACAGAAATCGATATACCGGTCACTCACATCCTTACACACATACACTATATTTCCGCAGCAGGATCAGAGCATCGGGGGGAGCTGCTGCTGGTGGAAGTGGTTTTGAGGCGATCGAGATCAAACCAACAAACTTAAATGGCTTTATATCCCTTTTGAGATACAATTTCAGTATAATTATAAATAAATGATATACATATATATATATATAAATGTACAATGGTAGAAACGAATCTAGGTAAATGTAAGTGTAATTTTTGTAGTGAATTTGCGCCCCATCCGAACTTTCCTTCAGTCGATGTGTGTGTATTGTAAACGTTGTAACAACCTCCCAAAATCTAACAGAAACATATTCTAAATATTAGAAAGAAAAAAAAACACACACACACACACACAAGACGCGCTGGATGATATATGTATTTGAAAGAACAAACGAAACAAAATTGCTGATATTTTACACAGAACAGAGTTCGAAACTAACAAAAACCAAAAAGATAAAGTATATAAAACATTTCATTTCATCGGAGTAAAAGTTTATACTGATTTAAAGGGATAAACTAAAAATAAAAAAAAAAAAACTCACAAAGCCAACGCACACGAAACAAGAAAACAATTGTGAAATCAAAGAAGAATATTGAGTAACTGTAAAGATAATCCCAACCCGTAACCCAGAGAATCCTCTTTAGCACGCAACAATTTAGAGAAATTTAGAGCTGATACTTTGCACGCACCGCCCCCTAGTCCCAACAAATATGGAAATATACATATGAAAAATTTAAGTAAATGGTGAACTATATTGGAGACTCACGCCGGATGTTTTTAGATGTTATTTAAACGATCTTGACAGACAATTTTTGTGTAGTTGTGTGTAAGTTGATATGCATGCCCAACCAAACACACAAAGTATAGTCAAAGGCAATATAACGATAAGATGCGTAACGACTATACATATTATACAAATGTCCAGCGACGAAATTCAAGCCCTCTTGCTTAAAAAGTTTATAAATCTAGAGCTCTAGAGTCGGCGCACTTAATCGTATGGCGTTATGCTTCTTATTCTTATACTGTCTTTGATATAACGTATTAGCTCCCCCTCACGACACGCATTGAGCCCAAATGAGAATCAAGTTGAAATTCCTGTTGTTGTATTGTGAAAACGGAAGACTTTCTTTTTAGGACTTTAGAGAGACAGGCTTGTTTACTGAGCAAAAATTATGATAACCACTAACTGAGAGAGAGATCGATTAGCTTAACTCACTCAAACTATGCGCGAACTTCATTTAAAAAATCTTGAGACCAAAATGCGTTTACTAAAAGGTATTAACTTCATACCAGAATACCAACAACCCGCAATGAGGCTTTCGTTCTAGGCCGAGCAGAAATATCATTAAATATTAATATGTATACCAAAAATTAGTTCGTTGACAAACCAGTCAATTATGTCTCACTCGATACAACACACAGCTCCACAGGCAGACACACAGGAACCCCGAAGAAACACAGCTGAAAGCATTAATGGGTTATATATGAAAATCTAGGTATTATATATTCATTTTGTAGCCTATGGGAACTAATATGTTGTTAAATTCGTAGATATTTTGTTATGCGTTGAACAGAAATGAAATAAAAAATAAGAAGAATATGCGAAACCGACGCGAAATTAATGAGGATAATTTTAAATTGTAACTTCTGTCAATTACATTGTAGACTGGTGCCATATACCAAGCGATAACTGAATAACAAATGCCGCACGTAATGTTGTTGTTGTTGCAGCAGCAGACAATTGTTAGGGCCATCAATGCATGATTATTATTGATAATATTGATGCCGCTAGTTCTGCTACCCTTGAGTTTGTGTTGTGCGTTCAATATAAGTGCTTAGTATCTGTGTAATATGTATGCCGCAGCCGAGCGGCCTGTTACTTAGTGTGGAGTTATCCCCGACCCGAGATGGCCTGCACTTCCAGCCAGTGCTTTGCCACATTATCCATGTTGAGTAGTTTGCAAGCGTTTCTACTAGTTGTTGTGCACCGAATATTAAGCAAATGTAATTCGCACAATTCGAGGCAGATATTCAGGATATGTAGGCATATTGTGCCAGAGCTAGATGCGCCAGATATACAATATACATATACATATGTATGTACTTACTTAACTAGGGACACATCGATTTGCGATTGTTTGGAGCCCTTGGATCTCCCGCTTCTTTCCGTTTCACCCTTATAGAATGCTGATCGTAGAACCGAACGATTGTATAAAATCCACTTAGACAGAGCACCTCTATCTATATCCATGCCACTACTAAGGGCTCTCATGCCACATATAGCTAATGTAAAGGGATAGGGCGAGCAGGGGGACAGGGGATTTTACAAAGGACGTAGCGAGGAAGAGAAAGGGGAGTGCATGCAGCAGGTGTTTATTTTTCTACCAGCAGATTGAAGCAGTGAAAATAGTTGGGAGTACTCGACGAGAGCAGCAGCCATTACCTAAATCAGTCGTGTGTGTATATACGAGATGCATATATCTACCTACATACAATATATATACATATATATTTTTGGAGAGCGAATCAAGTATCTAGATGAAATCGGCTAGGATTATCCAGGTCGAGGCCAAGTACTACGCATATTTGGAAGCGATATTGATCAGTGTAATTGTTGAAAACCAATCGAGATTTCGAACGTTTGCCTTGGTTGTTCGGTTCGGTTCGATTCGGTTTGGTTTGAATGGAATGCATTCGTTGTTCTTCATTTACTCTAAATATTATATAGATATCGGATTAATGATTAATTCATGTGTGCAACTTGTATCGTACCTATAATATTGCATTCCAAGAAAAGCGAAACAAATGAAACATACAGAAAGACACGTGAGCAGAGCGGCAGGAGAATATATATATATACACATGCATATATATAAATATATACTATATGTAAATGTAAAGTCATTACAAAAATGAACAACTTTTCTGAAAAATAAAATGTATATTCAAATATCAAATAATGTTTTTCTTTGGGGAACAAATCACTGTTATAAACTGTTATAAATAAATCTGAAAAATTAATTATTCCTCTGCTGTCTTCTGGGCTCGGTTAAAAAAAAACAAGAACGAAAGCTAACTTTGGCCAGCCAAAGTTTGTATGTATACCCTTGCAGGTAACAATTAAAATATATGATAACTAAGCCAAAAATGCATTCATATCGATTCGGAAAGCAGTTTTGTTTTAGTTTTTATTAATTTAAAAAAACTGCATACCAAATTTAAAATTTTAAGAAATTAAAATTTTTGGTCATTTTTGCTAATTTTAATGATGTAACCCCTTATCAAATTTCGCAAAAATGGCCAAAAAATCGATTTCTTCCGGACATGTCTAGAAAGATTCGCATGTTAATGCTGATCAAGAATATATATGGTTTATGGGGTAGGAAATGATTCCTTGACTTAGAAAAATATTATTTTGTATTATAAAATCTGATTTTTTATATTAAAAAACTTCTTGATTTTTTTTAAATTAAAAATATCATAACTCGGCCAAAAGAGCATTAATTTTTAATCGGAAAACTGTTCTGTGCAAGATTTTCTACAGTTAATAAATCTGCATACTTCATTTAAAAACTTTGAAAATTCAATTTTTTATCAAAATCAAAAATTTTAATGATGTAACCCCTTATAAAATTTTGCAAAAATGGCCAACAATTCGATTTCTTCCTGACATGTCTAGAAAGATTTCCCTGTTGATGCTGATCAAGAATATATATACTTTATAGGGTCGGAAACGTCTCCTTCACTGCGTTTCAAACTTCTGACTGAAATTATATAATAAACAAGAAAGGAAGCTAACTTCGGCAAGCCGAAGTTTGTATACCCTTGCAGATTGGTTTTCATATTTATATCATAAATTATAATGCCGAAAACAGACACTAAACAGAGTTTCATAACATTTTACCTATACTTATTATGTTTACAGTTTGACAGTTACAGTTATACATTCCCAGCTTTACATTTTCTCCACATCTACGGATCGCTTCTATGGCAGCTATATGATATAGTTGTCCGATTTTCATAATATTGTTACCAAAATTCTGAAATAAGCTCATGTCTCAAAGTAAATGAAAATACGTTGAAAAACAACGAAGTTATAATTTTGTCTATTACTTTCCCTATCGTTCCTATGGCAGCTATAAGATATAGTCGTCCGATTTTCATAAAATGTATACCAAAATTCTGATAAAATACCAGAAGCTCATGTCTCAAATTAGATTTAAAATTTTTTTCTGATATTTTAACTTTTTTTTAGATTTTTAAAATTTTTTTAGAATTTAAAATTTTTTTTTAAATATTTTAACTGCCAAATTTGAATTTGAATTTAACTGTCAAATTTGAATTTAACGACGATCAGTTTCAGTGTGCCCAGGTGCAGTTGTAAAATAACACCTAAATTTGGATTCAAAAGGTTTGAGTCTCCGCTTACTTCCGCCGGCTCCGAAATGGTTTGAAACTTGGACTTTTTATAACAGTTTATACCAGTTTTCAGTTGCTTGCTGCTGATTTCTGTTCGCCTGTTACCCCAATTTGGGAAACGGGCAATTTGCATGGAAATGTTCGGAAATTTGGATTGGCTGCTGTAGGGATGTTGTTGTAAAAAGGTTGTTGTTGCCATCCATCTGTTGTTGTCGGCAACAAATAGGTATAAATGCATACAATGAAATATAACAGTTTATACCAATTATTATTTTTGCCCAAAAGTTTTTATAACAGTTTATACCAGTTTTCAGTTGCTTGCTGCTGGTTTCTGTTCGCCTGTTACCCCAGTTTGGAAAGCGGCCAAATCGAATGAAAAAAT